TCTCCAGCATATTATTTATTATTATTTTTGGGGCATTATATATACGTGCACTTCCCCACCGATATGCTAATTGAAATGTGAAAACGAGGAATGAAAATTCTCAAGAATCCTTATCGAGCGAAGGGAAACAAAAGAGGCTGTGCTGCGGAAAACTGAATGAAAATGAGCGCAGGTTCTCAATAAATTGAATTATCAAGAAGGGACTCTTAATGAAATGCATTAACAAGGAAAACACAATGGTTAATTTATAGAGTTGGTATGTGGGCTGCATGGATATTCCTTCAGTGGTTTGCTTTAAAAAAATCCAGCAATAACATTTCAATTAAATACGAATTAAACTGTACAACTCTTGATGAATAATATTTTTTTAATGACGTAAAATATTACTTTTAAGCAATATATAAATTTCAAACTGTTTTTTGTTATTTTATACTTTCTTGAAAAGAACTACGGACTATAAATAAATTAAATTGATTTTAAGTCCAAATATTTATATGGTTTATAAACAATTTATTATTGTACTTTTGTTAATTTATAAAATTAATTTCTATGAGTTTAAAATGATAAGGTATACAGAAAATTATCTTCTGACATCAGTTACTGCTTACAGAATTTTTAATTAAGAAAAAAAAAGATATAAATTTGGTAATTCCTCAAGTGATTTTCTCTCCACTGAGTCACCCGAAATATTCCCTTGAGAGCTGCCCTGTCCGAAAGTGCCGATGAAGGGCCGTAAATATTTTATCACAACGCGTGTGTCCGCACATTATTCATTAAAATTTGCTCCATCAACGGCGGGGAATGCCAGTCGAAAAAAGCCGACTCAGAGTCAGAACGCGAAATTGAAGCAAACGAGGCAGCAGTAAAAACTTCCAATTACTCAGGCGCATCCTCGTCGGCTCCAGAATCAAGTGGATGGGCACATAAAAAGGATGTACATGCATGTAGTTGAGCGGATCTGTGTGCTTTTAATATCCTTTTCTTTGAATAATTCATGCCCACCACCAGGCTGACCATCCCGTTTGGTCCGGTCCCGAACTCGAGTCCCAAACTCTTCAGCGGCAATCAGAAGAGTTGACGAGGGCTGCCCGGAAGGGTTGCCATTCATTCGTTCCAAAGGCAAACTTATTAATTGGCACTTGAGCTGTGGTAACCACAGGCTCGGCGTTATATCCCCCCATATATGGGTCCACCACCCATACCAGGCCTACCTCCATATACCCACGTCATTCAACTCTTTTTAAGCGGGCATAATTTAACAGCGTTTCTGCTTTTTTCCCTTCGCGTTTGTCAACTGAACGCTGGCGAGGACCCCTTTGGATATTGCTGGTAATCCACTTGGACAACAACAACAGCGGGGACAACATCGGGGGTTCCGTGGGGCTCGAAAAAATCTCCAAAGGACCCTGCTGGTTTGCATACCCTGCAGCCAGGCAGGGAATTAATCCATTTGGGTTCCAAATTATTCGGCCAACTGGATGGCCAAAGGAATTCGTTAGTGGGCACTCAATAAATAAGGAATCTATTATGTTCATTATATTTAATTCTTTGGACATAAGAATTTAGGAATAATATAAGTTGAATTACAGCCAGCCATTAAAAATAGAGTTCTTTAAATAGGATGTATGATATGATATACCTATTTGCATAATTGTTTTAACCCATTTTTATAATAAGTTGCATTTTATTCAATATACTTTTTGCATAAAATAATTCCTGGCAGAAACTTTCTTAATTTGCATATAAAGGCTACCCCCTCTTTTCTGCAAAAATCTCTCGTATTTAGCATAAAATAACTTTTAGGCCAGCCACTATCTCACCGCCCAGACTCTTGGAGTCCGCAGACTGCACTTCCTTGTTCCTCATAGGGTATATGTTCAAATTTGAGTGACAGCGCGACACATGAGACAACCTCATATCCTGAGACTCAGGCACGGCGCCATTGTCACGTTTCAACATTTAAATTAAAATGTTTCGGTTAAAGGACGGCTGGAAAGCTGCGAAACTTTCCTTGCGTTCAGGGGAGAGTGAAACCGCAATGAACAAAAAAATCCCCGGCATATCCATTTAAATATGGCCCAGCAAAAAAAAAAAAATCAAAAAAAAAGTAGCGGAGAAAAAACGCTTAAAAAATGCCTTGGTTGCGCTTTTTTCGCTGGCCGCTGTCTTTTGCAGTTGGTGGTGCTTGTTTGGCGTTCTGCACTTGAGAGCCGCCTGGTTGTTTGTGTTGTTCTTGTTATCGTGGAGGGGGTGTGGGAGGTGGTGGTGCTATCCAGAATCCACCATCTCGCCACCACCCCTCCACCCACCACCATCCGCCATTGCCAGTGGCAGCTTCGTTTTGACCAGCTCCATTGCCGTCGCCTGCACTCGTCTTCATTTATTCAATGCCGCATCGGCTTTGGGCCACACGGCGTATGCGTGCTCTGCGAAATTCCACACAAGAAACTTTTCCGTTGCGAAAGCCAAAAAAGGGGAAAAAGAACATTGAGTCGGCACAAAACAAGCATTTTCACCAGTTTACCAACAGCTTTTGCTTAAAGATTGCAGCAGGGATTTTTGAAGATTAAACCCGTGAAGGCTTAATGGTGGTGTACTAATAGTTCAATGGTTTCAAAATGGTTTTAGAGAAATAATTAGATAATATCAATAAGTGATAATCACTAAATATGGAAACATTGGTCTGTGGAATAAAAAATATGTATCCTCTAATGTATTTTCACATATATAGTAGTTACAATATTATTAAAAATGTTGTTGATAAGGGCTCCAAATAATAATGATTTTATACAATAATTTGTAGCCCAACAAGTATTACTGAAAATCTGAAATATAATATTTATTTCACATAAAATCCCACATCATATATATAATGAACATTTCTCTCTCTTAATTCGCAATTATTCTGGCTCACTGCTGATATATATTTATAAATATTTCTTATTAAACGATGCTTCTCGTTTTCAAAAATCAATCATTTCATCTCCATGGGACCCTTCTCAGTAAAACATCCACAGCCTTGACTGCAGTGACCCTGTCGAATTATGCACTTTCATTAAGTAACTGCAATCAGGCGAATAAAAATCCTTTCGAGAGCAATCTGTTAGCTTGGCTGGCTGCCTTAACCTTGTGTCTGGCTGAGCGTGGCCTAATGCACTTTTAATTGAGCCGAGCACCCTGGGCGAGGGAATTTGAAAAGGAGTGTAAATGGAAAATTATAATTAACATTGCCAGATGCCTGCATCGCACTCCTGCAGCATCCCCACCCAGTCATCTCTTTAATTGCAATTTTGCCGGCTGCAAGGTGAGCACATCTAACATTGCGCATACGCCATGTGTTTTCCATTAGTTGCCATAAATTATTGAAAATCAGGATTTATGCCCGAATTGTCACGTTCATGCGCCAAACTAGCACCTAGCCCAGCATTGTAATTGATTAATGCGAGTCTCTTGCTGGCGTGTCCAGGCCAGAAAAAAATGGGATTGCAAATTTGCATATTTGAAATTATGACAATTACACGATATTGTCATTGTGCATCGATTATTTTGTGTGCAGACTTAAAGGTTGTTTTGGGAATGTTCTATTATATATTTTGCTTTTATACTTCAGGGTCTTTAAAAGCAAGGTTGTGTGGCTATTATGTCATTTCTTATTTGCTTTGTTTAATTTTTCTCTGGCACATAATTTGATGGCAACATTTCCATTCAATTCGCATGACATTTGCCTACACATATATTGCATTTCATTGACAGGCCTTCTGTGCGTAGCAGCTGTCAGCTGCGAATGCGAATAAATTGTATTTTTCCTAACCAAATTCAATTACCTAATGATTTGTTTTACATGCAGCTTTTTGTTCGTCTCGTTTCCAGAGAACGGACATCCCATGGATGGCCAAAGGAATGGCGACGAGAGGCAGCCTCATTCAATTGCCGAATTTCACACGCACGAACAGTGCTGCAAATTAGTCAGTGGCCACGTCTGTATGCATATAGCCAGTGTGTCCGACCACTCGGCAGTGGTCATCAGTTGACCCAACATTTATTTGATTTGGTCAATATGAATGTTGCCAGTCTTGGCCTGTCGTTGATGTTGATTGAGTGCATTTTATTCCAGTCAACTCTGACTCTTTCCACAAATATTGGCTTTCAATAACAAATGTTGCCTTAGCTAAATAAGTTAATTAATTTGAAATATATGTGACGCACCAATCAATCAATTAAAAATCAGAATCGCCTAAAGCATTATTATTTCAGAGGTTTTCCAAACAGTCTCTGAGCATTTTAAAATAGGACTCAGTCAATTATATACTTTGCCATCTCATAATGACCATTATGAGATTTGTGAATTAATCCCAAAACCAATCAATTTATTATGAGCTAATAATAGTATAAATACAACTTCCAATCGAAAACCGTTTGTAATTAACTTTATGGTAAAAGATTATGTGGCTTATTATGTCTGAGTCATTTTCTTCGGTTTATGGTCTCATGAATGGTGTTTGATAAGGCTCAAGATTATAACTTAAAACTTACTGTTTTTTTAGCAAATTCTGAGAACACATGACAGCCAAAAAACTTTATGGTGTAGTTCCTCACTAAACATTCGCCAAGATAGGAAGTGGATATTTTTGTTATCTTTATCAAAGGCAAGTCTTTTACAATCATAATTACGTATGTGAATAATAAAGAAACTAGTGTTAACGATAGCCAATGGGTATTTTTGTATAATCCCTTATCAAACGCTTACTTTTCACAATCATAATTGCATGTGTGAATTAAGAGATTCTTTTAGATGCGATCAGGTCAAGTTTGAAGTGGCTTTCGGAATATCTTGACGTATTTGTCAGTATAGCATTGATTGCGTTTGTGTTCCGTTCTTAGCTTTGCGATATTTATGGCCTTATTTACAATCGGTAGCCATAAAATACGTAATCTAAGAGATAAGTTGACCATATAAATGGGCACTACGCCTGTCCAAAATTTGGTATTACGTGCTCTGAAACCTCGCGATGTGGAGCAGTCGCTGCTCGATTTTTATCCTGGCGCTGCTGGTCGCCAGCAATGCGGGAAAAGTATCCGGAAGATTACCGAGAATCCTGCCGGAACCCTTAGCCGAGGGGGATGAAGGAGTGATAGTGCGAGGAGATTGTGAATTTAAGGTCAACGGTGACCTCAACGACCCCGCTCCCCTCTTTTCGCGACACAACTCCTACGAAATTGTAGTGCCAGATCCCACGGACACAGTGCGTTTGGTTAATGGAGAACAGTTGGATATGTTCTGCCCGGGAGTGGGATTTGCGGCTCCTTTCGCGAATCGCTCACAGTTGACGGCCACGTGTCTGCAGAACAAGTATTTCCTGGTCGATGATCTCATCTATCCGTTTGCCAACTTCTCCTGCACCAGCTGGCCCATTTTTAGTGCCCTGCGAACAGGCAAGGATTGCAATGGAGGCACAGATCTCGTCCAGGTGGGTTTCGAGGTAGAGGATGGTGGCTTCCTGCAGTCCTACGAACTTTGTCACGACGCCGAGGCGGAAGCAACGCGATATGTCCACCATGTGCTCTACCCATCGAGCTACGACTATCAGCATGGAGTGGCGCGACCCAGCTTTATCGAACTCGACTTCTACGGGGGCAGGGATGTGAATACGAAGTACACCCAAGTGCAGCAGAACATCACCATTAGCAACATACTCGGAATGGATGCCTCGCCCTATTTCAATTATAGTGACAATCGCATCCTGGCCCGGGGGCATATGATAGCCAAAACGGATCAGATCTTTGGGGCTGCTCAACATTCGACTTTCCTGTTTATCAATGTGGCACCTCAGTGGCAGACCTTTAATGGCGGCAATTGGGAGAGGGTGGAGACTAGTGTTCGAAAGTTTGTGGCCGATCGGAATCTCACCACCGATTGCTATACAGGCACCTGGGGTGTTTCCACCCTGCCCGATGTGGATGGCATCGAAAAGGAGCTATACCTCGACTTTGATGAGAACAACAACGGCTTAATCCCCGTACCCAAGATATATTATCGAGTGATCATCGATCGCCTCACTCGCGAGGGCATCGTGATCATTGGCATTAACAATCCCTACTTGACGTTGGAGCAAATCCTCAAGGATTACATCCTGTGCAAGGATATTGGTCATCAGATAAGCTGGCTAACTTGGTACAAGGAAGATCTCCACGAGGGTTATTCCTATGCCTGCACTGTGGAGGACTTTACCGAAGTGGTCAAGGACTTGCCGTTGGAAGATCTGCATACAAGTGGAGTTCTCGGACTGGACGATGTGACAACTGTTGAACCTTCGAGTACTACGAATACACCTGAAACGTCTACCATATCTTCAACCACTACTGACGAACCAAGCTCAACTACTACCACTGCTACTACCACAACTGTTGAACCTTCGAGTTCTACGAACACACCTGAGACTTCTACCATATCTTCCACTACTACTGAAGAACCAAGCTCAACTACTACCACTGCTACTACCACAACTGTTGAACCTTCCAGTACTACGAATACACCTGAGACTTCTACCATATCTTCAACAACTACTGAAGAACCAAGCTCAACTACTACCACTGTAGTTCCCTCAACCACAGTGCCTGTAACTACACCTAGTACCACCACTGTTTCTTCCACTACCGAAGAACCAAGCTCATCTACTGTTACATCCACTGTACAACCGACTTCAACTACTGTTTCGTCCACTGCAGAACCCAGTTCCTCAACCACTTTGGAGCCCAACTCAACCACTGTGGAACCCTCTTCATCATCTTCGGTGTCTCCCAGTACCTCGAACCCCCCTGTCACCACTCCCTCACCCGTTGTAAGTCCCTGCAAGTTCAGTACAAATGGGGATCTCAAGGACCCTGCTCCGCTGCTAACTCCTCAAGGAGCTCTCAGCTGGCTTCTGCCTGATGAAAGTGGTATTTACACAGTTGAAGAGGGATCTTCCATAGATCTGCATTGCACTGGAGCTCTGTTATCACCCTTTAATAGGTATACCGCTCTAACAGCTCGTTGTGTTGGTGATCAGTTGTACGAGGCCGAAGGACAGCGGGTAAATATTCGGGGATTTGTCTGCCAGAGTTGGCCCACCTATGTGGCAGTCCGATCTGGAGAATCCTGTGAGGGTGGTACCGATCTTGTGCATATTGGATTCGATGTGGCCGCCGGTTTTCTCAGCCATGTGGAGCTCTGTTACGATCAGCTGGAGCAGATCTCGAAGTACGCTCGATATGAACTGACACCGGCCAATGTGGCCTATCAGAAAGGAGTTGCTCAACCGGGATATCTTCGGGGTGATTTCTACACTGGGGAAGATGTCAACGTTCTCTACGACCAATCGCATCAGCTGGAGGCGTTTAGTTCAGCCCTGGGCTTGGATGCCAGTCAATACTTCGATAGCACCAAGGATCTCTACTTGATCCGAGGACAACTGGCCGCTCGTCTTGATTTTGTGCATAGTTCCGCCCAAAGGGCCACTCACTTCTACATCAATGCTGTTCCCCAATGGAGGAGCATCAATATTGGAAACTGGTTAGCCGTAGAATCGAGCCTAAGGCAATTTGTGGCCGATGAGGCCTTAAATGTGAGTGTACATGCTGGCAGTTATGACGTTTCAACTCTACCAAATTCCCAAGGAGTCCAGACGCCCCTTTATCTAAATGCAGAAACCAAACAACTGCCCGTAGCCAAGATACTCTATCGCATTGTCATCGATCAGGAAAGTCAGAAGGGCATTGTCTTAATAGTGGTGAACAATCCACATATCACATTGGCTCAGATTCTGGAGGACTATGTGATCTGTGAGGATGTGGGTGAGCAGCTGGATTGGTTGGACTGGGATAAAACGGATCTGTTGAAGGGCTACTCGTATGCCTGCTCTGTCGAGGACTTTATTGAAGTGGTTAAGGACCTGCCCACGGACCAACTCCAGACTACAGGTATCCTAGGCTTGAGTAGCCAGTCCCTGGAAAACGAACTGTGCAGCTTTCAAGTGAACGGAGATCTGAAGGATCCGGCTCCTTTATTTGTGATCAGGAGCGAGTTGGGTCAGGCCAGATATGTGGAACCAAATCACGAGGGCTTAGTCGAGCTTAAGCATGGAGAGGCTCTAGAGTTCCACTGCATCAAATCCTTCACAGGACTATTCTCTGGTCTTACCTTCGTGAACTCCACCTGCTGGCAGAAGCAAAGTTTCCTCACCAAGGGCAGTTTGTATGATCTGCAGGACTTTGTCTGCACCTCCTGGCCAACTTACACGGCTCGTCGGACTGGTCGTTCCTGTAATGGAGGTACTGATCTCTTGGAAGTGGGCTTCCAGCTCTCATCCTCCACTTCCGATGACTTCCTGCAGACCTACGATGTGTGCCATAATGAACTGACTGAGGTCACCCGCTATGTGCATCATGTTCTGTACCCGGGCAGTGCCCAATATCAGCGATCTGTGTCCAGGCCGAGCTTCGTTACTGGGGACTTTTACGGCGGCAAGGATGTGAACACCTTGTACACCCAGGTGCGTCAGAATATCACGGTCTCGGAGATACTGGGCATGGATGCCTCGCCCTACTTCAATATCAGCGGAAATGTTTATCTGGCACGTGGACACCTCTCGGCTAAAACAGACTTTGTCTTCGGGGCCGCCCAGCAGGCCTCCTTTTTCTTTGTGAATGCGGCACCCCAGTGGCAGACCTTCAATGGAGGCAACTGGGAACGGATTGAGGATAGTGTGAGGAAGTTTGTGGCCGATGAGAATATTACTGCGGATTGTTATACGGGCATTTGGGGAGTGACCACCCTGCCCGATGTGGATGGCATTGAAAGGGAGCTATATCTGGACTTTGATGAAAACAACAATGGTTTGATACCAGTGCCCAAGTTGTTCTATCGCGTAATAATTGATCGTCTGAGTAGAAAGGGCATTGTGCTTCTTGGAGTAAATAACCCGCATGTCAACCTAGAGCAAATCGAAAACGAGTACATCATTTGCAAGGATATTGGCGAGCAATTGTCTTGGGTCAGTTGGACCAAAGAGGATCTCAAGAAGGGCTATTCCTATGCCTGCACTGTAGAAGACTTTACTTCGGTGGTAAAAGACCTACCACTCGATGATCTACAGGTTGATGGTGTGCTGGGCATTTAAGGCTAGATTTTGTGGCTGAACAAAATCCAAAACAAAACGAATTTCTTAATTTAAAACCAATAAAAAAATTACCTAATCGCAAAGTTGTTTTCCTGCCGGGGAAAGCCCAAGAAGAAGGCTTTTGAGCACGTTTAAATTTAGTAGTTGTGAGCCATAAAGCCGAGGAATCACGTTTCTTTTTGTTCTTTTTAGATTTTATTGCATGTTGGACATACTGATAAAAGTAAGGTTATCAAATGCTCGGCGTTATCGTTTATGGCCGGCGCACAGCCATTTATTTACCCTGCCTTTGGGCTATTTGCTCACGTGCCGAACGTTTTCCAGTGCCTTTGGATTTTCCTCCTCCCGTTCCAGTGGCCCAAAAGGCGGTCCCTTGGCCCAAATCGAAGTCCCCATGGCAGTGACTTTCACATTACTTATCGACGCCAAGGAATTACCTTGTATTACTCGTGCGGTTTCTTTTGTTTATCTTATCGCACCGCAGTCGTCCCAAAGCGTATGAAGTATACGCTGGTTAATGATTATAATAGACTTTTCGGGGGATAAACAAAAGGCACAGAACGAGAGAGATAGAACTCAACACGCATGTCTTGATTTATTTTTGTCGAGTAATCATTCGAGTACTTGGGATTGTTGTGGATTAAAAAATTGGGCATTTAACTATCTACCTTTGTTTCAAATAATCAGTAATATCAAATTTCAAGGCTGGTAATAAATATATACGTTTATCACCCCGTGTTTGTTTATGCCTTGAACTTATTTTAGTTCAAAGGCCGTTTGATGAGCTTTCTGCTAACCTGCTTAATTGATGAACTTTATTTCAAATACTTCTGAGCCATAACATTCAATTTTAAAATTTAATTAAATTTAATCTAAACCAGAAAGACCTAGCTATTAACGTTTATATTTCAGTGATTTAATTTATCAAACACTAATTATAACAGCTCTTCAAGCGTAAATTTTGGAATGATATAAATTCGACAGTTTTTTCTGTAAAGAGTTTAGTTGATTTCGAAACATTTACCAGACTGGTATAAAATGATAAAAACAATTGGAATATATTTAATATTAGCCACAACAGTCATTGCGCAGGGATACAGGAGTGAGTCAGTGATGAAGGATTAATGGAAAGGTCTGAAAAATATTCTTTACCTCTTATACAGAATTTGGTCTAAATTGTGAAGACATAGAATGTATATCTGGTAAACAATGCATCATATCTAGAGTTCCCTGCGAAAATCCGGTTCAACGAGAAGGGAAACAATGTGGAACCTATCCGGAGTGCAAAACAGGTTCGTGTGAGAATGTTCTTTCTCTGGAGTGCACCACTCACTTACACTGAAATCTGGCTCTTTTAACTGATCCGTTTCAGATCAGCTGGCCAGCGATTTCTCCATCGACACCACACTGACCATCGCCAACACCCGCAATAGCATCATCATACCCAACACCATCACGAATCGCAATCGGACTTATAGGGATAATGACTTCGAACTATTGACCGACTTCAGCAATCCCGATAAATTTGCATCGCATGCAGGGCAACGGCAGGCCAATGTTTTGGTTATTGTTCAGGATGGTTCTCAACAGCCAAAACTGCAGAGTCCTTGGCCGAATCGAGGACAAAGTCCCCCCTGTGCCGTCAGCCCCCTCTATCCATATTCCTGTAAATATCCAGGCAACCTTCCCAATCCTGGCTCGGGATTACCTTCCTATCCACAGGCGCGATCTGCCAATGGGCCACAATTAGTTCCTCCCACACCGCCTTGCTATTACAATTGCTATCCCAGAGTGCGGTCTAGTCCGTACGGTCAATACGGATACCCCCTAGCTAGATCAGCAAATCCCTCATCCACCAATAATTATTTAATATACCTCACACTAGCTGGCTAAAAATTTTAAAATCTTTGCATTATATTATATAATTGTTGAGCAAATTATGATGAGACCCTCCACTTTTTTTTCTGTGTATTTACTAGCTCGACACCGCTTTCGGCGAACGCCACAAATGTCATATCAGCCTGTGGGAATGCCAGCTCCAATGCCACCTGGGTATCCACCACCACGTCCATTTCCAATGCAGCCACGTGAATCTATCCCACAATATATGATTCAATCTCAATCTCAAACTAACTTTCGATACCCGGTTCAAAATCAAGCCAACAGCCAATATGCTATGGAAGGACAATCCAACCCTCAGCTTTACTTCTCAGTAGGGATGTCCTATCCACCGTATATGAACTACAATGGGCGTTATCCTGGGGCCCCACCCTCATCATTCTACAGTCCATATCTTACCAACTATACCACCTATTATTACAATGTTAACTTACCTTTTTTGGGAGGATCTTCTTGAGTTCCCTAATTTCTTTGCAATTAAAAACTCCATAATACCACTATTTAATAATAATAATATCTTACATTATTTAACTTTATGTCCATAACTTAAGTTAAGTTTTTCCCGAGAATCAATTTATATTGTTTTTATCCGTCAACTGCCAGCATATCAAGGAGAGATGGTGATAGATCTTGAGAATGATACTGAAACTGCAGTCCCACGACTTCACAACCGATCGGTTCGACAGATTCCAATGTCCCCAATGCCCGGACTCTTGCCTTTGCCAGGATCGATGCCGATTCCAGGACCTCCTCCGTATTATCCCACCTATATGGGGCAGCAGTACATGGGACAACAGATGGCAAGACCCATTCAACGACCCATACCCATGATGCCTATGATGCCCCAGGCTGGTCCGGGTTTCCCCATGGGAGGTGGTGGTTTGGGTGGGACTAGCATTATTGTGGAACCCTTAGTAATCCTACCCATGGGCATTGGGGCACCAACTGGGTTGGGAGGTAATCCCAATCAATATTACGGAGCAAGTGGTGCTTATCCCACCTATAACAACTATAATCCCTACAATACGTACACTACTGCACGACCCAATTATGACTATAACAATTATAACAACAATAATTACAATAATAATACTGGATATTATAATAACAGCAACGATTACAACTCTTATGGTTAGACTATTTGTGTACTGTAATTTAAAATAAAATGTTCACTAAAACTAAATTTGAATGCTTAAATGTACATCGTTAGGTTAATGAAACGTGAACTTCTGACGAATGTGTGTTTGTTCACTTACTTGTAAACCTCTAAATTGAGTTAGCAAAATATCACTAATAAATTTAATTGTTTATAATGTGTATTTTAAATGATTTTTAAGAAATAAAATGGGTTTACCAGGCCTGAGATAAATCACGTTGTTTACCTTTTGATAAGGTTTGGTTGATATACAAAAGTAAAGCATTTTTAGTAACCTAGACCTGAATTCACATACTCATACTCATACTATTTAAAGAATTCGGAAGCATTTATACACAAATAATATAAGTAATATTATCATCGCTTTGTTCTCACTGAGAGTCCAAACACAAAAACCAACAAAATGTTTACTGAACGGAAAGAGAAGGTAGACAGCTTGACGCTTTCAAGAGAAAATGTGAGAAGTGGAAGTCAGGTGTACGAACTGAGAATATAAAAACACATGTTCACCAAACGATTTATTCAGTCGGCGGTAAGATAGCAACCTCAGCGGTCGAGTTCCGATAAAAATGAATCTTCTGCTGTTCGGCCTAATTTTGCGGATCGTGATTCTGAGAGAGATTCGGGCACGTGAAGCGATCGCCTCCATTCCAGATGTGGGTCAAATCATCAAAGATCTCGATGGACTGCAAATTGATGGAGCAACATTTGAGAGAGGTAAGTGGACAGACAAGTTAATAACAATATTTGTATCCGATGAGTGAGTATAATGAGAGGTTATTTCTCTTTTACTAAATTGTAGAAGCTTAAAAATTTGCAAATGCAGTAAAGGCGGCCAATTATGGTTGCCTCAAGGTTAAAATTCCTCGTAAGAGTATCTAAAAATAGAAAACATCTGTTTCAATAAACTAAAACTTCTAACTTACTACTTGTAACACGTTTATGTCATGTTAAACTAAAATAACGTTTTACACTCTTATTCTAGAATTAGTGTTATAGTAATAGTTCGAGCTAGAGTTAGAATAAGAGTTGGAGTTGGAGTTAGAGTCAAAATTAGAGTTAGAGTCAAAAATTAGAGTTGGAGTTGGAGTTAGAGTTAGAATTAATTTTTTTTTCCTCCAAAGGTACGCCAATGAAAGCCAGCGACACCTAAACATTAACTTCCAATTTCAGGTGCCCCCTGCAGAGTGGACCTGCAAAAGGATCTCCCCCGTCCGGACCAGGTGCAGCCCCTTTACCTTCGTCCCGGCACGGAACTCTACTGGCTACCCAATAATGATGGACACCTAGAGATTCCCCGCGGCGCCAGCATAGAGCTGCACTGCAGCCATCCCTTTGCCCCTGTGAATGGAGAGCCCGTGGATGAGGAACTCCGCTCGATTGAGGTGAAGTGTGTGGAGGACACCACTTTCGAGTGGACGGGGGCGAAAATGAAATTCCGCGACTTTGTCTGCAGTCACTCCATTCCCTACACCGTGGAGCGATTGGACAGGCGTTGTGGCGACCTCGTCACCTCGTTCTTGTATCGCGTGGGCTACGACACCGGAGATGGCAGATTTGTGGCCACCATGGAGCTGTGCCACGACCCAAATCACCTGCGAACCCACTATGCCAGCCATCAGCTGACACCGGCCAATGTGCACTTCCAGAAAAACGTGAAACGCCTGAAGTTCAGCCCCGCCGGCCATTTCACAGGCTTTGACATGGCCAGGATTTATTCGCCCAAGAGCCAGGTGAAACTGATGGCGCCCGGCCTCATAGATGTCAAGAGTGGGTTGTTCCTGGCCCGCGGACACCTGGCGGCAAAGGCGGATCTGATCTATGCCAGTCAGCAGAGGAGCAGCTTTAACTATGTGAACGTTGCCCCGCAGTGGCAGAGCTTCAATGGGGGTCAGTGGGCCGTCCTGGAGGACTCCACCCGGCGGTATGTGGCCAGCTCGGGGATCTCGGCAAGCGTGTATACGGGCACCTATGGCGAAATGAAGGTGGCTGGCAGCAAAAGCCTCCACCTGACCACCGATGCCAATAACAACGGGCTGGTGGCCGTTCCCCAGCTCTTCTATCGCGTCCTCATCGACAACGGGAAACCGACCCGCGGAATCGCTTTGCTGGGTGTCAACAATCCACACGCCACCCTGGCCCAGATCCACGAGTCCTATATCATCTGCGATCCCGTCGAGGAGCAGGTGGGATGGCTGGGTTGGCTGCACAAAATCAACGCCAAGGGTAACCTGAAGAAGGGCTATCTGTATGCCTGCTCGGTGGCGGATTTGGCCCGGGTGGTCGAGCAGCTGCCACGCCCCCTTCTCCAGGTGGACGAGCTGCTCGCCTAGATAGGGGCGTTGCGGTCCGGGCTTCGATTACTTTTAAGTGAGTGCAATAAAGACTGAGAGGATTGTGTGTCACAGCTTCAATGATTCATTGCTAGAATAAATTGTAGACTGCCTAGAAACTCTTTAAAATAAAAATAAAATTTTCAAACGTGCGAAATGTATTTCTTCGTGTCAATTATTAGTTAAATATTATTTTTTAATTTTTACAAATCTTCTCTTGCTTAAAATGTATAGTAAAAGAATCTTTTAAGATTATTAAAAGGTTAATTTCTTAACAAAATCATTTTCTTTTTGTTTGGTATGACTACTAAAAATATAATTATTACATCAAATATAAAGGTTTAAGTGCCCGCAGTCTTCATTTTTTCCATAACAATCTATTAAGAGATTTTCCACCTTTGATATTTAAAGAGATCCCCAAAGAGACCGACTTCAGATTTCATAATTCTAACAAGTTAATTTCCATGAGAGAGCTGTTGTTCTTGATTTAAACATGTAATATATGTTAAAAATAATTTTCTCATTTGAAAATTTGTATTAAGTAATGGAAAAACTGTTCAAAAAAAGGTGCATTTATTTTTGTTAATCTCAAGACTATTTGTTAGCAACATTTTTGTCTTTTTCTTTGGAATGATAATTACAATTATGCATCGATGAATACATAAAATATAAAGGTTTAAGTACCCACAGTCTTTATTTTTTCCATCACAATCTAACAAGATATTTTCCACTTTTGAGATTTAAAGAAAGCCCCCAAAGAAACCGACCTCAGATTTCATAAATCTAACAAGTTAATTTCCATGAGAGGGTTGTCCTGGCCCATTCTTCTTCCGTTCGCTTGAGCCAGTTTCGTGTGTGTTCAGATTATTAACGCTCGTGTGAGCTTCACGCCATCAAAATCAAATGGGACATCGTGTGTGGTCATGTGGGGGGCGGGGCCACGCCCACAAGGGGGCCCGAACCGGAAATGCTATACCCTCGTTATGCGTTTGCCTTGTTGGCGGCAGAGCAAAATCGGTGGAAGAAACGAGGATATCAAATACGGCTCGGCTGCATTACCTTCATGCCGCTCACAAAACACAATTTGTTCCACAACATTGATTTAATCCTTTTTCTTCTGGGCCACGCACACACACACACAACGCACAGCGAACGACACAAAAAGGCTGTCATGAGGAATTTTCTTAAATTTTCCGCTGGGTTTTTCATGGCATTTCCCGTCGTGGAGCTGTGTCCTTGGCATTATCATGAATATTTCCACCCCCCCTCCCCGCAATTCTGCGCATTCGATACATTTCCATTTGCTGATTTGAAGCGCACTTTCCACTTTGCTCCCCAGCTCCTTTACGCTTTTCCGTTTTTCCGATTTTCCGTTTTCCGCTCGCTTAGGTCAGAGTCGGCATTTGGAAAGGGGCAAGTCGAAATTATGTTTTTATGCTAGCTTGTGCGGTAAGCAATATTTGCTCAAGTATCCCTTACAGACTGTTGGACAGTAATCATCAAATGGGGCACACAATGTGGGAAAATGCCTGGTTTGGGTTTCAAGAAAACAAGAAGGGGCTTGTTAAAGGAATTATGGGATTTATTACCTTTTAAAGGGTAAGTGCCCATTTTAGAATATGATAATTGCAATTTAGTAATTTAAAAATACCTAAACAATATTTAAAAATATTTGCTCAAATATCCCTTTCAGACTGTTGGACAGTAATCATCAAATGGGGCACACAATGTTCGGAAATGCCTGGTTTGGGTTTCAAGAAAACAAGAAGGGGCTTGTTAAAGGAAGTATGGGACTTATTACCTTTTAAAGGATAAGTGCCTATTTAAAATACTGATAATTGCAATTAAGTAATTAAAAAATACTTAAACATTGAACATTTAAGTACATAACATAAGAGCAGTTAAAGATATTAAAATGTATTATTAAAACCAATTCCTTTAGAGGAATGCTGGTAAAAATACATTGTATAAAAATAACCAATTAAAAACTGATTTATATGCAAATGAATTCCCAGTCCAGAAAAACAATGAAAACTTCAAAACATCGCTCACATTTCCTGGAAATTGAATGTTTTTTTGCCAGCTACCAAACATTTGTAGCAATTGTACACCGCTTTAGGATACGGAATGGAGTGCAGTACGAAGTCCAAAGTCCAGACGACTTTTCTTTAGTGGCAATAACATTTCCCTTAAGATTGGTCAAAAAAAAGTACAACAAATTGTTTTACTGTTGTTTGTCTCGCTTCTTTCACTGACTTGATGAAAGTTTATCTGCTCCATGGAGATTGTGAGCTGGCGGCCAAAAGGAGCAGCAAGGATACAAGCGAGCAACGGAAAAAAGTCGAATAATTGAACGCACTTCACGCAGATGTTGTCGGGATTCTTTTTTATGTCATTGCCGGCGGTGGCTGCCAGAAGGATATGTTGTGTCCTGTGGCCTCCAGCGGAAATTATAATTTATATTTCGGTTCTCGCTCGGCCTCTGTGTGTATTTTAATATTGCCACCTCCTGGTCGGCGGAGGCCAGCTTCAGTCGGCTTCTTTTTTTTATTTTGATTAAAATGCATATTAAATATTTGGCAAGCAAACAAAAAATAAAAACACCAGAAATGTATCAAATAAATGGATAAAAAACAACACGCAGCAATACACATATAAAAAATATAATATAAATAATTTCCTGCTACCGTCTGAATTTATTTCCCGCTGCGGGTCTTGCTTCCTTCCGTCCTGGCGATAAACTACATACATACCCTACATATACATTGAGCTACGACCTGACCCAAACTTGCTGCAAATCCTTCTGCAAGGGCATAAAAAAATAAACAAACAATGGAAATGTTCCCCTGCCTTTGGGTTTATTTACATGTGCGTAAGCGCTGATGGGATTGGGGACACAGGACCTACAAAACCTACAGGAAGCTGTAAACGTTTTGATTTATATTGGAAATTGAGGTTCCTTTGACCGCCCTTTTTTTTGGGGGGACTTTGTTCTTTAATCGATTTGTGATGAGGGGGCCCACAATGTTTATGTTAGATTAATGCAAAAATAAATAATTGGCCATGATCTAAGCTGATTTACTGGATATATTTTATAAATAACTTTCTTATCCCTCACACAAACATTATTTTCTTGTAGTCCGCGCTCGAATTGGATTTTTATATCCTCAATTTGAGCCACAATTTTGTTCACTTTGACCAGCTCTCCTTTGGCCTGGCATAAAAAGCGAAACAACGAGCAAAAGTGAATAAAATACGTGCACACAATTCAAATGAAATAAGAGGAAAATATGAAAATTGGAGAGTGCAGAGTGCAAAGGAATGTGGGGTGGAGGAAATTCCGTTTCATTTTACTGGAAATTACAGTGGGGAATGCGACCAGCAAGACAGGACAAGACGACGTTGACATCCAATATCCTTATTGTTGGCCAGCGGAATTTATGGCTAACAAAGTCGTTAAGTAGGCTAAAGTGTGTGGCTTGCAGTGGATTCTGCCACCCCGGCGACTGCAACTGCAAGTGAGTGGAAAATGGCCAAGTCGGGGTCGGACCAAGTCTCGCAACCCGATGCTAATGAGGTCATCAACGTCCCCTCCGGCCACCAAATCCCGGCCGCATCCGCATCTACATCATCGTCGTGGCTGCGAAATTGAATTTTGAGTACTGCCAGAGTGCGGCCAGGTAGTCCCTGATTGAGGTGTTTGATTAATGGGCCCTTCTCCTAGTCCTGTCCAAAAGCCGGATCCGAAACTTGTTAGCTGGTCAGCCCGAGATCTGATTTCCATTCCTATTACAGAAAGAGAACTGCATTCATGGCTGCAGCAAATTGTGGCAGTAACCTTAGCATTCTCTAATTTAATCCAATTTGCTGAAATGTCCTCTCGGTTGTCTGTGCTTAAATTTCTTACGACTTTAAGACACCTGCATTCAAAGAATACTTTTAATAAGTTGTCCTTTTACTTAGCCAATTAATATATTTCCCATTTCCTTTTTGACTAATCTAGCTAATTACATGTTTGCGATAAGTCTCAGTGCTTTGATAATAATAAAATAGTACCCTCACCATCACGGGACCCACGATGGTCGAAAGTTTGGAGTTGCCTTCACCTAAAATTCTATTATACTCTTGTTTATGGCTTGACTTTAAAGGCCGGCCCACTCGACCAAAAGACGCCACAGGATCAGGAAGTGGAACAGGAACAGGAAGGGGATGGGTAAATAAATTGGTTTCTGGCATAAAGGCATAAAACCATTAGATGCCAGGCTACACACACACAGGAAGGGTGCCCCGGCCAGGCTCACAGCCTCAATTTGAATATGTGCGAATATTTATGAGTGTATACCTATACCTCCCCATCCGAAAACATTTCATAACCCTAGCTATAAAAAGCAACGATAATGTCGTACCTTACTTGCTGTCGTCGCCAGGTGAGATCAAAGGGTTTGCCATTGTCCTCAATGGCGTAAAGTCTCCGGAAAGTTTGTGAATTCGCTTAAAGTGCGATGTTAATTAGAAAAGGGTAAGGAAATATAAGCACAGCACTGTTTATTTAGGAAATCATATGAAGTGGTTTTAAAAAAAAATATAAATACAACTCTGATAAAATGAAATTTGAAATCACAGTTCACCACAATACATTTTGTCGAAAATCCCTACAAGTATGCAACCATATATTTTCAGCTCAAAAGTACAAGGAATTCATTTAGAAAGACAACTGACCTTTATATACTGCATACTTTTAGGCAATAAAAAAGTATTAAAAAATTATTTTAAAACCCTATGGTGTAGATCCCTATAAACACATTTTCGATGGAAATATTTATATAAAATAGCTTTTAACTCAATGTTACCCTTTAGAAGGGCATAAAGAGCCATGTACAGTAAAATGATTGAGGGCAATCAAGTGCAACTGTGAGCGGCCCGTAAAAGCAGCGTAAAACACTGGCTGCTAAAATATGTAACAAGCCGCAGAACAACAACTGCCAGCCAAATGGGTTAACACTCAGTTTGCCCACCGTGTTTGAGGAACATTCGGTGCAGCGCTTTTTATCATCTTTCTGTTTCTGGCCCGCCCAAAAGTCCCGCCGTCTTGGCCACAATTGGCATGTCGGTGTGCGGTTGTTGCAGCCTGCAGCCATGTGGGCCACAAAAATGCGGTAAAAAGATTACCAAAAGCGAGCGTGCTGCAAGACGTCGAAAGGAGCAACGGCGAGGTAACAACCGCTGGTGGCTTGGAAACGACTTTGCCATGCTAACCAAATTGTTATCATTCAGTTTCATTGTGGTCCTCTAGCAAGTGGAGAACTTTAAGGCTAGGCAGCTCTTGGTAATTTGCATTTCAGTCACAGAAATGGCGCAATCTCGTCATTTTCTGAAATGGGTGTGCTCTGCATTCAGTGATAGTTAAGAAGTTAAAGTAATCCTTGTGCTACGTCTTAACAAAATGTTTATTCATATATACACATTGAATTAAAAGATTATTTCTAAATATAAATTGATATATTTTTTTGTAATTTATGTTAATACGCACTTTCTTGGCAGAGTTGGTTATAACTAACTTTACATAAATAATAAAAAAAATTAAACAAAGGCGTATACAAAATCTAAAATAATAATAGTTTGGTCAATGATAAACTTTTACTAATAATTATTTTCATCAATGCTAACAATGATCCGAAAATTTGGTTAGTTAATACTATAGTTTCATACCTAAACCAGAATATCCCGATAAGCCTTATGAATTTTCAATTATGAGCCTATTTTCTCTTCATTAAATGTGTTTGGATAATCCAATTAATACCGGAAAATTAATGAAACGTCTGTAATTGATTTGTTTGTTGTTGGCAATCGAATTACCCCAAAAATATGCGCCAATAAAAGGCCATTCATCTGATAATTCAGTGGGCACAATGAGGAATTTTAAAGGCAGCCCCAAATGATTTGCACTTCACAGTTCAGTGAACTACCCATAGTTTGATTGGTGGAGGGGGATTTGGCGTTTCCGTAGTGACAAAATAGGAAAAGCGTTTGCCCGAGACACTTCAAGTGTAAATTTGATGGCCTCCGGGCGTCCGTACAAGTGCAATCAATGATAAATCTCGACGCAACAATGCGAATGGGGAAGTGTATATATAGGCCAAGCCACATATAGGCAAACAATATATATATAAATCTATATAGGATGTGAGAGCGGTGCTATGGCGCTCCAATTTTATCGCTTTCGTTACTGGAAATCAATTGAATTGAGGCGTTCACAAAGGCGATTCGAATGGATACGTTTGCCGAGGCAATCTCGAGGAACGGATAAAGGAAGTGAAAGCTCCGGTTGTTGGGGCTGACAAACACCCTACAATGGTGGTCATTAGAACGCTTTAAGGGGTGCGTACGTATACTATATGTAGACCCTACCATGTCTGGGACTTGGCCCTTTACTCCCACTCCGTCAGATTATCGCCCGGCTGACAAATTGCCGCCCAGACAACGACTTCTGATGCCGCCAAATCCCCTCTGGAGCAGACTTTAATTCTCAATGAAGTCCAAGTGAAATAAAAAATCCTGAAAACCCAGAAACATAAAAGCGAAAATGTATTTCAATCTATTTGGCGCAGTCTATAGGTGGCGACTGCTGGCCAAAAAAGATTTATGGCCCGCTCTCGTTAAATGCTCTGTCAGGAGACAACAAACAAAAAGGGTTTAACTGATGGCAGGGATATGGATATTTTTACTGAAAAGGGCGAAGGCAACAGGTTGAATTATTCAGGGGAATTCAACATGGAAATTTCATCTGCATAACTTTGGGTTGAAGAACATATCCGAATTTTTGATAGTGGAATTCAAAGTATCATTTGAAGAAAACGCAAGTTGTTTTTTTTATTTAATCTATTTAATGTATAATTTTTGAAAGAAGTAATATCCACACGCCAAATAAATATATTCACTGCATTTTCAAGAAATCTCTTTTTTCGTAATACTTATAACGAATATAATAAACTCGCAGAATAAAAATGGACTACAAAATAAACCACTTTATCTTCCAGTTGTCAAGGGCCAGTGTTGCCATTTACCGAACACGGAATCTCACGAATAATGTGGATGTGACAAGAATATAAATTTATATTACAGCAACTGTGAGTACAAATTCAGGCAGAGCCACGCCCACCGCCGCCGGGGGCGGAAGTATAACGAGCTAGAGTCCCCTTCTCCCCGAGAATGAGACTCTAATGTGACATTTATAAGTGCCGGGCGACGGATGGGCGACGTTGCATGTGCCACTCTGACGAGCTACCAGAATTACAAAGTGCATTTTTCATCATTCTCCCAGAAGGGCGAACAACTTGCACAACTATTTTTGAGATACTCATATCATGTTCTTGCTTTGGCACTTGAGTATGCGAAATTTGCGACATACTTTTAAAGTTCTTTGAGCGGCAAAGTGTTCTGAACGAGAAGGCAACAAAATCTAGATCTCACGAAAATTAGGCTGAGATCCAGCAATATGCATTATCTGTCATATCCAAAGAATCCAAATTAAAAGTTTAGCTACTCCTTGAAAATGTCAAACTTGGGAACTTAATTTACTTCTTGCTTCTCTGGCGGCCTTGTCCATTTAATGACATTTTGTTTATCACAACTAAGTAAAGTTTCTCCTTAAATAATATAAAATATGTTTACATTTTGGCTACTTTATCATATACATTACAATTTATTATTATACATACTTAAAAATGTGTTTATCATCTATTTATCTACTTCTAAGACTATTGGAGACTTAGTGTTTTCGTTTGCTTTAGCGTTTTCAAGTCTTATGGCATCGTCTAAAACCCTTGTATTAACTTTACCCATCGCAATACGTAGAAGTTTGAGATTTTTACAGCTTGCAATAATTGTCAGTAGGGAATTGGAAATATCTAGTGAACAGGACATCGAGAGACACAGTTCTTCCAGATTCGTCAGCTTGGCCAGCATTTCCACACACTCTGCCGATGAGCAGAAGCATTTGCAGTGTCTTAAGCTCTGAATGCGGACCAACTGAGAGGTCTCTTTTAGAGTAAGACTTCCACCGTCTATGGACAGGTGTGTCAACTGTGATTTGGCCGCCAGAGCTGAAAGTAGAGGCTCAAAGGAGCCACTTCGGCGGATTCCAAAGTAGGACAGCTCCCTGAGCTTTGGAAGCATAGCCAGTGGCAAGTATTCTGAAGAATTCCCGGACATGCCGAACTTGAGAACCTCCAGATTTTTGCAGTAGGGCACTATATCTCTCAAATTCTTCTGAACACAGGCATAGCCGAGGTGGAGCCTGCTAAGATTGCCATTGGATTTGCAGGATTTAACCAGAGCTGTGGGTGGAATTTTCGGTACGAGGATCTGCAGATTTTCGAGGTGACGAAGCTGACTCAGGTGATCCAAACTGCAGTCTGGAAAACAAAAATGTTAAAAAATATTTAACATGTGTTACTAACAAATTTTTAGGCGGATGAGAAAAAATTCTCGGGAATGTAATTCGATTTTACATACTGATTTTACTTCTTCTAGAAAAGAATGGCCCTTACCATCTCTAACTAAAGTTTTCCTTACCATCTATAGCATGCAATTCCAATATTTTTAGTTTCGGCAAATGTCTTACGGCAGCCAGAATTTGATCGAAGGGCTTTACAATGGGTGTAATGAGGAAGACCAGTTGTTTCACTACCAAGTGCTCTAACCCAATCATGCCGGCCAAAGTCTGACAAAGAATTCCAAAGCAGTTTTCAGAAGCTATACACCCATAGTTCCTGAAGCATCTGGCCGTATTGAAGTGATCCAGATCGATGGTCAAGGACGTTACCATCTCCCGACAGGTGCAAAATTGTATTAGCTCTATTCTTGCACTGTATTTTTCGAGGATATATTCGCGGTATTTACTACCGCACTGGTTGATAAAAAACTGACGAAATCGCTTGCACACTTGTGCGAAAATAATGCGATCTTCAGTGGATAGAAACTGGAATATATAGTATAGGCAGTCATCGTGAAGTTCTTCAATATTTGGTGCACTCATTGCTAAAGCGGTCAAATTAAAACTGAAAATGAAGTCCCCATTTTAATCGAACGCAAGTATTTAACACGTCTGAGCTTTTTGTTATGAGTAATGTTTATTTCTCACCGGCCAGATACGTACTCGTCAGCAATTGGCCGGAAAGCCAGTTTGCCGGGTATATTTGGGCTTGACCTATGGTAATCTTTGCGTTGTTGATGAAAATCATCAGCTGATTTAAAACTTTTGAGCTTTGTGTTTACTGGCGCCATCCAGCGGATGGATCGGTTATCTCAAAAAGCTTTATGAAACAGAATCGAATGTTGGTTTCTAGTCTTTTAAAAGAAAATCAACGATCTTTATAAGGTCATTGTGATTCAGTCTCAATTTTAGGGTAATTTAAATCTTTAATATGAAAACAATGATTGGACCAGACATGTTGGTTTTTTGTTGTAGACTCTAGGCTAAGGCTATCACTTTAAGAATTTCGCCAATTTCTGATCCCCGGCTCCAATGTTATTAAGTTGCTTCTTTTTCCTTGATTTGACAGAGTTTTCTACTTGGATATTATCTTTGGTCTTCGCGAAAAAGTGCTTAGGATGAAGTCTTAAGGGGTCGCCTTTATGAGGTTGGATTACTAAGATGTGTGGTTTGGATCGTGGGCGAGAAGACGGCAAACGGTGACCGGTGAGGCGTTTCATGGCTATATATTGTCCGAAAATTTTCGGTATAAAAATCTTAGATTCGAGGGCATTGCATTCTACTAGCACCTCGCTGCCGTTTGAGATAAGTTTGAGAGAAAATTTCTGGGGGCTGGATTCCTCATCCGCGGCTCTTGTGAATGGACCTCCATCGATGGAAGCATCCCAGGGGGCCAGACCAGCCGTCGCCGTCGTCAAACGCGGCTGAATCGGTAGGCGCTGGATGATCTGGCCTTGAACTTGTCCCTGGATGGATTCCACACAAACTTCGGATCCTTTGGCTATTGGCCGACGACTACGTATAATGTTCTCCAGCACTATATTTTTCTGGTGCATCTTGGGTAGAAAGATCTCTGACTCGTGACCCGTTGCCTCTACGAGAACAACATTTTTGTCAGACAGCAGTTTAATGTGAAAGCTTGTCATGGTTTTGCAAGAACAATCAGAAAAATCATATGGTAAACAGAAATTTGGTAAATAATTATTAAATAGTTTAGCAAATTTGTGTTTGAGATGTTTCTCTAGGAAGTAGCTAAAGACGAATATCGAAATCAAGCTCCAAAGTGTAGTTTTTTATGTGTTTACAGTTCATGATATTAGAAAACTTTGAATTTTCCAAGATATCCTTGAGATATGTCAGCTGGACAAGCAAAATAACTATTTGAGTATCGGAATCGATGGCAATAACGGATTCACAGTCATCAACTTCGTTAGGATCCATAAATTGCATTAGTTGATCCTCAATATTGAGCCATACTTTAACCTCAAGTTGCTTTAGTCCTCTGATTTTAGTCAAGAGGTGTAAGTTACGTACAATAGATGGAAACTGTGATTGGAAGGCTTCGAGCACAGAAATAGCTGCTATTTTTGCAACTCGCTCAGACTTATGTATAACTTTGACTTGCCGAAGGTTGTGAATAAGCTTTTCTTTTTCCAACCACATTGGGTTCAGATTGTTATTGCAATTAGAAAGCCAATCATTAAACCTTAATATAAGACTACTTTCCAGTTCGTGTTGAAAGACTATTCCAATATGACCCATATTTGTTACAATACCAATGCTGTTATAGTCAAGCTTAATGTCCTTCAACGTCACTGTTTCCAAGCCAAAAGCAAAGAGTTTCGGCAGCTTGAATGGAGTAGGACCTTCTGATAACCGTGTGGGCTTTAATTCGCACCTAAGTCTGTGTAAATGGCGAACTTTGGATAATTCCTCAACTTCCTCTGATCCCAGTTTAGCCTGCTCGACTGACAGTGCTTGCAAGTCAGTTGAACTATTCATCACCATTGATTTAAACAGCGCTCTTAGTGATCCCTCCTCCGGGCTTCCAAAAATTATAAACGTCTTTAACTTCGGTAACTTGGCTAGTGGTGCGTACTCGCTGGCATCCGTTTCCGGTTTCATTTGAATTTCCAGCGTTTCTAGATTTCTGCAGTATGGTGTTATATCTGCCAGTCTGCCGTGCATATCTGTGCTTGTGAATGCAAGTTCCATAAGGTTCGGATTGGATTTCACACATTCCGTCAGATCATCGGCTTCCATTGGCACATACAGGCTGAGACTTCGCAGGTTTTGAAAGTTTTCCAGATTTCCTGCCGTGTAACCTGATAAAAATACCATATACCATCAAAGCGGTGAGTATGTACAGTATATACTTACCTAGCATTCGAAGGGTTAAGCTTTTAAGGAGCTTCTTCTTGGCCAGAACCCGCATGGTCTTTTCAAACATTTCCACATGATCTGGACAGTAGTCAGTCTTTGGAAAGAAACTCAGAAGGCAATGCGTGAGTCTCGTATTCCCTTCAATAGATATAAGAAATATATCCCAAAAAACTTTCCTCTCAGCGGAAGTGCATTTCTTCTGGCTAACGTGGAGTTCGTAAAAGTTAATGTTCACGTTTTGACAGGTCCAGGAATGGATTTTCTCGACTTCAAGTCGCATGTACAGGCTTTTGTTCCAGCACCTAAATTGAGAATTAAGATAATCATTAGTAACCGCAAAACAAATTAAATCCCTGTATCGAATAATGTCTGGAAGTCTTCTTTCATCTTGTTCGCAATTGTTTTTTATTTGCTCAAAAATTGAATATAAGCAATACTGGTTCAATTTAGAAATATCTGTGGTCATTTTTATAAAAATCGTATTTTTTCGCAACGACGTGAAATGTTAAAGCTATTGCGAAGAAGGTTCTGCTTAAACTATTTCCGGAAATCACTAATCTGTTCTTTGCTCAACTTATCGTCAGCTCATTGAATCGATTCCGATAAGATAAAATCTACACAGAAAAACAATTTGTTGAAAATTCTAAAATTTAAAATAATTTTAATTAAAATATGGAAATAAATATTTTCTCCAACTTTAAGGTATGATTTGTACCAGCTTTGTACATCTAGAAAAATCGTTCAACACCAAGTTCTATAATTTGGAGGGGGAAAAAGACTTGGCCAGGTGTGAGCAGACCCAAACCATTATAAAAAGCTTATAATTGAATTTTTTATAATGTGCTGTGCTGGTTGAACGACTTACCTTCGGTAGCCGTGGTTTTCATTTCTTTGCACACATCCTGGCCCGCCTTTTTTTACCGAGCTTTGGCCATAAAATACTGGAGCAGCACGGCAGGAGCTTGGACTGGAACATTTAATAGTTGGGACCATAAATTCGCCTGCTCTGTTATACAATTAGGGGAAATGTTCGGGCTATTGGTTTCTGGTACATCGCCGATAGCTGGTTCGAGGTCTTCTCCTTTGTCTTCTCTTTTTATTGGCAACTTTCAGGAAAGTTGACGCAAATTGGTAGCATTAAATCTGGCTGGTTAAATGGAAGGAAATGGGTGAACTAACCAATAATTTTTACCAAGCCCCTGGATCAGTGATGGTATGTTCATTATACTCACTATTGATAACCGATTCGTGTTGTTGATGTGCTCGTTAGCAGATTGGTTTTCGTGTCCGACATGTTTTTGATTTTTACTTACCCACAAGGATTGATGTAAGTTTTCGCTTCAATGACCTGTCAGCGCTTGTCGCCTGTCCAAAAATGTGTGTAATTTAATCAGACGGAGGACCCAGAAATAAAGTAGGCCTAATGTGCGAAAAGATGACAGGCAATGTGTTGTTAGTCCCTGCCGCAGGCCAAGACCTCTGATATTGTATTATGTTTTATCCTTCTTTCATCCGCTTGTGTTGTCTCTGATGGGCAAATGAGAATACGGCATTTGCATAAGTAAGAAAGTGTGAAAGTGGCACTGGGTTCCCTGTATCCCAGTAGCCCTGTGAGTGCCTTTTGTTTTCTCAAAAGCCGTTTTTGCGCTTTTTGACAAATGACTTAAAGCCTTTGGGGGCATCCAAAGGGCCATGAAAAGGGTTCAAGTAATTTGTTGAGACTCTTGAATATTGAATGCGAGTGTGGCCCACGTGCAGGGACACAGTCGAATAAAAATGAAATATCTTTTTGGCGGGGCAACGAACCAACTGAAAAGAAAAAGCACCAACCGCCATGACACCAAATGCTTTACGTCCAAATATGGTGAAATAAAATGCTTTATGGAATTTAGCCATTACGTAACACCATCGGATGTCCCATCAACATTTCATAAGCCATTGAGTATCCAATGACCTAGTGGGGTACGTTTTTTTGTGCCGAGTAAGATAAATCGTTGGTTCTTAATTTTTAAAACACTTGAGGAACTATTTCATTATTAAGAATTTTGAGTAACTATATTTATTAAAAAAGGTGCAAGTAAATAATTTTTTTAACAAGGGAAAGTACAAAACAAAGTTTAGAAAAATGTAAAAATTTCTTAAAAACCAAATTTTTAGGGAACTGACATATGTAACATAGGTCCTACAATGTGTGTTGCAATATAGATCATTTAATAAATAAATGACAATAAAATATAAAACTAAGTATTCAGGAAATATTTTGTGTTTTTCTGTATTCTACCACTTTAAATGTGAACGGTACAGATGGTCAGAAAACGCTTAGCCCAAATGAACGCCCATCTGTCTTCCATGTGCGTGATGAAAATCTTCCAAATATGAGTTCGGATTGGCTTACTCGTAATGCTTGTGCCCGGTTCCATCTCGGTTTTATTGCACCAACTTGAGAGGACTTCCGCCCAAGGAAGCGGCGACAGAGGAGGTGGGCGTTTAATCCGGAAACTTATTTATGTATGCCTTTCCGGTCGTTTCCTTGCCCGACGCATTTCTCGCATGTGTAAGTTCGTTTATTGTCGCACAGACAATCGCACAAACAAGAGTGTTTCGATGGGTGTGTGTTGGTTGTGGGAGGCTGTGGGTGCTCCTGGGTGTTTGGGTGGGTGTTCTCCATTCTTATGACACGCCCGCGCACACTTTCACTTTACATAAGCTCTGTGGCCGGGGGTCCTTTGAAGGGCCGAAAGCCGACGTGTGTGATTGTGCTTGTGTTGACAACACTTGATAATTCCTTGCATACACGCACTTTGACTGCAAGACACTATTATCCATTGCCGACGCATATACACATGTATCCACAAGATACTCTAGTTCTGCTTCCATTTATGTGCGCACTCTGCCCCTGGGCATCTCAAAGTTTCCTGTCTGCGGCTTTGAATTATTTAAAATTGTTTCCACGCCCCCATTTGAGAGTGGTGCTCTGATATATATTCATAGAGGCACAGATCGATGCGAATTAAGCGAAATAAAATATTTGTCTTGGTCTATAAATTTTGATTTACAATATGGCCTGCGGGCTATCGTTTAGCTTTTAATCGGGCTTCGGGTTAAGAGAGTCTAAGTAATGGCCTTTTAGGGGCCATGATTGGATTTCCGATTCCTATCTAAGGTTTTGAGACTTCCTATTTTAGGCATGGTTTTATTAAGGAAAGTAATATAACACTTTTTTAATTAGAGGTATTTGATAAAGTAATATATTTCAATAGAAATGACTTGGCTGTTAATGAATATAAGGTACAACTTTTCTGATTTTTGTTTAAAAATACATTGTAAATTGTTTTTATAAATTGAAAGTTTTACGAAAATAAATATACTTTTATTTTTACCCAAACAAAAAACATATAAAGCGAGTGATTCTTGTTCAGGGATTAATGCATAACTCGTGTTACTGCACAGAGAAAATTCTGACCTTCTCATCTGAGTTGAAAATGTTCTTGAAAAAAAACAACATTTTTGAATTTGAAAATATTTTGAAGTTGAATTGGAGGTATTTACATTGTATATCTCAACAAATAAAATATTAGTCCAGTCAAAAAGTTTATGAATAAACTCAATTTACCTTTTCTCTTCTCACCATTACGCGGCTTTTAAGAACAAATGTTCCCAATTCAAGAACAATGTACTTGAAAATTTCTCTCTGTGTGTGTTACCAAAATTAAATCCTGGTGTTTGTTAGAGCACCTAAAGTAGACATGCATTTTCATTTGAGCAGTGACATTGAACCGTGGATTGGTTTGGTTTTCCCCTATTCGGCGCTTCGAACCCGTGCTGTGTTAATTTAATTAACGAGCAAAGCAAAGAAATTACTTGCTGCCCCTCGATGAAAAGTTTTACAGCTGCGGCTGGCGGATACCTTCGCGGAAAAGCCAAGGGAAAAGGAAAATGAATGGCAGTCAGGCCATAGATCAAAGCACGCCTGCTGAGCACGGCTTTTCCGCTCGTTCCTTCTTGTATTTGTGTGTGTGCTTCCTATGCGTGTGGCCTGTCAGCAGGTGTAGGTGTTTCTGTGTGTGTGTGTGTGTTGTGAGCCTTCTCGGTGTTATATAAAGTAGGTCAGTAGTAGTGCCGTGCCAATAAAAGTTAATGCTTCCAGGTGAGAGCCTGTGCCTGTGTGTGGGATGTGTGTCCTGGCCTGTTGATATTTTTTAATATTTATAGAATTTTAAAATGGCTGTTAAGTGTGGTTATTAAACATTTAAATTCGAAAACCAGTTGTAACAGTTTTTCAGCACACTTTAAGTTACATATTTCAACACAATATGACTTTTAAAGTGTAGAACATTCTTGATCACGATATCAATTTTCCCACTTTTGCACTGAACTTTAACTGCAGTGCACACTATCTTTTTAAGTGAACTTGCATTGTTGTTTTAGTGATTCGGTTGTCTTATCTTTCCTATGATAAAAATGCACAATTGCAATATTATTTTTTTCAGTTTTTAGTTGGTAAATGACTGTTGAAAATGGATGTCACTGGTATTTTGCAACTCAATGATTATTGTCTCGATTTAATATTACAGTTTATGAATACAAACGATAGAATCAATTTCGCCTACACCTGTTCCAGATTTCGATATGTTTTTCTTATCTGGTCACGTCGTGGATATTCCAATTTTTCTATTATCGGTTTCGTTGAACCCTGGGAGTTGAAATTACTAAGTCTTATAGCAAAAAGTGTAAGAACGCTAAATTTTTTTGTTGATGATTTGGTGTGTTCATTTAATGACAATTATTCAAGTAATAAACGCCATAATGCTGTTTCCAAATTCTGCAACCTGATCCAAGGAATGAAAAATCTTGAGTATGTGAAGATATTGCAGATACATCCTCACCCGATCGCTAAACTTTTTTTAAGAGCGCTACAGGACTTACCCAATTTAAAGACGTTGCATATATGCACTCCAAGTAATTATTATAATAAATATCTACAATTTATAACTAACGTATTATTTTTTTAAAGGGCGAGAGAACTTTGGTAAGTTTTATCGTTTGGAGTACATCTCTATAGATGTGGAAATTTCTCCGAAAGTCTTACTGCAAACTTGCCGATCTCTGACTAGATTGAGAACTCTTCATCTCTCTGAACAAGTGAGCAGCTCCAATCTCAAAGATATTTTAGAGCATTTGCCACTTTTACAAGAACTGAGCTTTTATGTCGATCGATCCAATAAGTGGGATCTGTTTGCCTGCCATCGATATCAAAGAAAGTCTCTTGAAGGTATTTTTGAATACCTGGCTAGAGAAAGAACTTTGAAAATCCTCATAGTCAAAGGAGAAATCGTTGCTGTCCCTGAAGCCGAATACCTGGCCAATATAAAATCACTAAAATCCCTGGACTGCAGTTTCACAGATCCCGAATTAGTGTCATATCTTTTGGCGCTCACATCTTTGGAAAGCCTGCGAATAACGTACCTACATCCCATAGATATATCTTCGACTTATTTGGATATAATTAGGCAGTACAAGGACCTTCGCTTGCTTAGCATCTTTGACTATAATATTAATCCTGAATTTGTTTTGAGAGCCTCCAAAGTATTGGAAGATATTGAGTCGAAGAATACGTTACAACTATTGATCCACGGCCGTCGTAGCTCAGAAACGATGAGGGAGTTTAAGGCAAAGGCCTTGGATAGGAATAATCTGTTATTTCGTTCTATAACAGCCACTGAACTTTTTAAGTTATTATGAGCTTTAAAAATAAGGGTGCTACCAAAAGAATGCTGTTTACAACGGCTTATTGACCTTACTTTTTGTGTTTGCAAACCACTTAAAGGAGTAACAATAATTAAATAGTTCTGATTTAATGGTTTATTTTAAGATACTTTGAAGGAAAGAATCGTTTTTGTAATCATTATTATTAGCTAATTTATTCTACAAGTTTTTTAAAACTAGGTATTGTTTATTTATAATATTTTCAAAGAAACTTTAACGAGCAAATGTATTACGGATTGGCTTATCGTCTTACTTTTCCTCACATTAAAAACGTGGGCTAAGCCTCATAAAAAAACTCTTAAGAGAAAATTGTTTATTTATTTTTGGTCCGTCCCATTTGTATGAAATCCCCTGCGGTGCTCGAAGCCGAAAAAAGTTAAAAGTAAAACCGTCTTGGGGGTGGAGTGGCATTTCCAATTATGCGAAACTCCGAACTGTTAATGAAATGTGTCAGAAACAATTTGGTATAATTTTTCACTTAAAGCTAAAAACAATTTATAATTAGAAAAGGCTCTTAGAACGAGAGCACAAAGACAAGGACGAAATGATGGCACCTGTTGGGCAATCTGCAAAGTCGCACAATTTTCCCTCATTTTGCAGTGACAGTAAGCAGGGAGCAGGAAAAACAAGCAGTGATTGCGGATAGACAAGGACAGACTGACGGGAAAACAAAATGGCAACTGTCGGAGACGGAAGTACGTCAAGTGTGGCGGAAGTGGGCTGCAAAAAGAAGAATAAGTTGGCGGCCAGGAAGCGGCCATTGTGTCCTGGCGGAGAAGATAGGGATGGCAGCGGAAATGATTGTTTCTATTTCAGATTTTGTCGACTGTTTGACGGCCAAACTTTTCCATTTATAACAGAATCTGCCTCATTTTTGTTTTCCAAGTATTATACAAATGTATTTTATAAATTGAAGTTAATAATGCCATTATGTTTTTGACTGCTGTTCTGGAGAACATTTATTGACAACGATTTGAGACCGGGCTAAAATTATATGAATTAAATCATTTCAGCATTAAGCAAGCTCTGCAAAATACACTATTACTTAATTCGGTTCTGCTCCAAAATGCTTATGACACTTGCTTCATTCTTAACTAACTGGAAATAAAGTCTACAGCCTAACAACGTTTTATGAATTAAATTATTTAGCCAAAAATGAATCCATTTTTCCTGGTTTAAAATGTAACTACCAAAACACAAAATAGTATCTGAAATAAATATATGAAAATGCTTTAATTCATGAACCTGACATTTTTCTTGCTCAATTCCCAAGTTAAAGGTTCAAAGAGCCATTTAAGCCAAATTCTTACTCTGGGCTTGAAATATTCAATACTTTCATACTTCTTTTTGTCTCCCAGAGTAATTTACTTGTTTCACCAGTGTTTGAAATTGATTGCCTTGCTCTTGCCGTTTGAGAACTTGAGAATGTAATTGCATTGTTTGACAAAGGCCCAAACAAAACCGTGTGACCTTTTCACTGTTTACAGTCTTAACTTACATTGCCCTCGGGCAGAAGTCTCGAAGTTTTTGTCAAAATCCTTTGGCTTGTTGACACTTGAACTAGCTTGACACTGGCGCAATGCTCCATCAGACTATTTCGTAATTGAATATTTCGAAACATTTTAAAATGTCGTGCAAATTTTCGATGCCAGGATGCAGAACTTGGTGAAGTGTTTCAATTAAAACTTGCTCAACTTGTTGACATTTATCGAACACAAAGCCATCAGTGTCGCATCCTTTTCTGACTAGGGTTTTTGTCGGGCTAAAGGCCCTCCCACATTCTGTCCGCCCTTATATCCTGGGGCATCCTCAACATGATGGTAGTTCTTAATGTCATTGTTGAAGGGCTCCTAGTTCCCTGGTAGCAGACATCTCAGAGCCATTCCCATGATACTTTCCAAGGAAGTGCATTTGCCGAAGGACATTTCACAGCAATAACCAGAAACAGAGCTCTGCAATCAATGGGTGACATACATCTGCTGGCTTCGGGAGTTGGAGGTTGGCCAAATGGAGTTAAAAGTCATTTGAATGAATAGTTTTCTTGTCTCTGTTTATTCCCTGGTACAAACTTTTATGACAACAAAATCGAACTTAATGAATTCCAGCTATCACAGCTTCAATTGTTTTCACTTATCAAGTTTATCTTTAGTTGTATCCCGTTCTATAAAAACACCAATTATTTAAATTAGTTTTTTAAATGGTAATGTGTACTTTTTTGCGGCTTTAATTACCATCCTATTTATTTCATTTTCATTTGTATTAATTTAGAAAGCCTTTTCAAGCTAAAAACAGCTTTGGTACTTAAAAAGTCATTGCATATACTGCACATATTTGAACATTAATGACTGCGAACAGCAAAAAATAAATTAATGTTTGTCTCTCATTAACTCAATGGCCGTGTCCATCGATGCATTTAACAGCTGTTCTACGATTAATTGACCTACTTCGAGAGGGAAAAAATTAATACTCGAATGCTTTTAAATTACCAACATTGCCCGGATTAATGTCAGGGACCAAAATCTGAAATTTATGTGACAGACTTGCGTCTGCGAATTTTCCGGCATCTGAGATTTTGTCATACGCGTGCAAAGTGATTGCGTTTTGTTGCCAGCAAAATACACATAAATAATCCAATTAATTGACACGAGGCATCCTTCTGGGACCCCGAATAATTGCTTTACTGCCAGAGGCCCTCCACTCGCTCAAAGTGGCGGTTTGAAGTTTCAGACACAGTTTCAGGTGTATTTGATGGGGCCCACACCCCCGAGACCCGCACGAAATGGCTAATTGGTTGCACAGAAAGGCACATAATTGGCAGGACGGGTAACGGGCCAATCGGAACCAGAGCGAACGGCTTAATTGAATCTGGCCAGAAGGGTTCTCTGTAATAGATGAACAGTCGCCAGGGAAGATATAATACAGAATTCCTCAAGAGGTAATGCAAATTTCACATGTATTTCCAAGAAATTTTAAGTACAAAATCAAATATTTATCGCTGCTAAGCTCATGGATAACCACCATAGACTTATACTTATATTAAATTGATTGTAACATACTTTTAAGCCTTCTGTGTGTTTTAATCAGCACAAAGTCTATGCACAAAAACCCTCTCATGTGAGCTAAAATAATAATGTCTCAAAAAATGGGACAAATTCTCCGCATTATCAGTCCTCTTATTCGTTTTTCTCCATATTTTCGCTTTAAAAAATATAAATAATTAAAACCAAATAAAGTTCACTTGCCGACTTTAACGGATGAATTGACGCCCAAAGTCAGCGAGCCGATAAATGCGAGTTCATAATTCTTCGCAATGCATTTTGTAATTAAGTGCACAAATATTTATGCCCGGCTTGAGGGATGATATTTTTTTACATTAAATACATAATTAGCGCTGCTCTTTTGTATAATGTATTTTAATAAACTTTCGACGTATGCCTTAAATAAATATCACACAATGCATTGACCTCGGTAGCCTTGATTAAAATAAATGCACATCTGGCTTTCGAGAGCGAGCCGCAAAAGCAGATATATTTGAATACTTTTTATAGGCCACGGCTTGGGCTTTATATGCATGTCGGCCCCCTTACTGCACTTTTTGCATCAATATAAATATATTCGAGCAATTTTTTGCCCGCCACTCTTATCGCTGTGTGTGAATGGAAAACCCGCACCCGAAATGTGAGAATTCATTCAATTGCAATTGCAAATTTGTGTCACTGAACTGTGAAACAATAAAGATTATCCGGGCCGGAGATGAGAATGCGATGTATGACCGGGTTTCGGTTACCAATTTAAATATCAGTTGGCCTGACTTACGAGGCAAGAAAGGCATAAAAGGATTTATCTCTTCCGTCAACGGAAGGTTGGGAACATTTTGAGAAAAGCCAAATGGAAAGTGAAGTATACGGCTAATGAGAATGGAATTAAGATAAATACGTGTATATTTAATGCCAGAACTGAATTAATCGCAAACGAAGAAGCCACAAGAATCTGGTTTCACAGATGAGTGCCCGTTGCATCCGTTGACATTCTCTGATTAAGAGTGGTCTGAAGTGAGCCGGCTGATTGGAAAGTTCTTTGTGTTTTCTGGGCCATTGTTTGCATTGGCCGGGTCTGGGGATTGGCTTCCCATTCGATCCGATTGGCCAAGTTGTGTCTGGATTGGCTATTTGCATGGCACTCAACTACTTTGCCGATTTGCTGGCACTGTCTATATGTCGGCATATTTAATTAGCAGCAGTCTCACACAAAATTGCCCGACAGCTGACAAATTATGCCAGTGCGTCCCTAGGTCTGTCCTTGTGTCCTTGTGACAGGAGGACAGGAGGACAGGACTCGGCCACTAATGCACTCGGCCTAAATAATTTAACATTCATTGTCTCTTTCCAGCGATGGCTCTCGGGCTGTGTGTTTTCAACGAGTTTTCAGTGCGTAAATAAAACAGAGGCTGTGCTGCTCGATGCTTAGTTTGCACACTGCCACTCGCATCACACACTGCGTATACGCAATTTGCATTGCATTCGAGAATGCCCCAGGCACTTTCAACACCGCAGCCCACGCACACACAATGCCAAGTGCCAGCTGTTGACTATTAAACGCCAATTCCAATTTGTAGCTGGCTTAAAAATTGCAATTGCAAAACCTTGCCAATCACGGGCCCAAAAACCCTAAAATTCAACAAATATTTTACCATTTCCATTCGCCACTTGCTCATTTCATTTGATTTTAGGCGAATTCCCACCTCACCAGCCCTCGATTTCCCAAGTGTCATTATTTAATTATTACTTAAGCCGCAGCCCAGCTGACAAAATGCCAGCATCATGCAATTCCGCTCAATTGCATTTCCCGAAAATAAACACCTGTCATTCGGGTGGGCGGATGGAAAGTGCAGCCCACCTGCAAGTAAGAAGTACAAATTATTTCCAGCAAGCGACAAGCTTGTTGAATTTAATCAAAATGCAAACTTACTTGTAAAGTAAATACTTGTCTTTTTCCGGTGCGACATGAAAATGTCTGCGATTGTATGTGTTTAATTTATTTAATTCCATCTGTATGAGTTGCAATCCAATAATGTTGTCGGCAGGTGCAAATTGAATTTATTTAATTGTCGTTGTGGCCGGTGCAAGTTGGTTCTTAAGGAAATTTATGGCACTTGCATGGCTATGTAAAGGAATTTAAAATGATTTATTTTAAGCGTGTCCCTTAATTTTCTATATTTGTTCAATCAAGCAAATGTTGGTTCTCTACGTATTTAGCTGTCAGCCTCATGAGCTTAAATGGTTTTGTTGTAAGTTTGATCTGCAAGTAAATATTTAAAAAATATTATAAGAGCCAATAAATAACCGTGACCCACCTGTTTCGCAGTTACCATCTGAAATCGAAGAATTATATAAAAGGTGTGTACCGTCTTTACCTCTGGTATCATACTTACCTCATCTGGGGTATCATATTGTTGGCATTTCAAGCATAGGCAAATATCTAAGTCCTGGTGTTTCTCGGGATCTCGGCTTTTCAGAACCGCATACTGAAGGCCAGTTAAAAACTTCTTGGTTATCCCGTTGACGGGCACTTTAATGTGAAACGAGTTCAGCTTGCGACAGTTCTTCAGAAGTGGTTCTAGACACCTTGGAAAGTGAACATCCTTGGGGTGGTGCTCTGATAAAACCTCCACATCCTCCAGATCTTTCAACTGGGCCAGAGGCTGAATGTAAATTAACTTCTGAAACCCACATGAGATTTTCCTCAAACACCTTAAAGTGACCAAAGCTTCAACAACGGTCTTACTGAGGTATACTTCTTTGGATATTTCAAAGATTGTTAAGGGTGTTCCTATATAAACCTCATCTATCGTTCCTAAGTTGATTGTGGACAAATTGTGGAAAAGATGAGAAGTTGGTATATTTATGGATAAAACTTTAAAGGAGCGCAGATTTCTGACCAACGGAGTTGGCAGTTCTTTATCTCCGTAGTCCATACTGTAAAGCATTTTAAGCTCTCTCTTTTGGGGATCAAAGGAAATATCGCATGCATCACTCTTGATCTGGACACCGAGCTCCAAAAACCGATACAGCGTCGACTCCATTGACACAATCATTTCATTAGGCATTCCGATAACCTTAAGGTTTTCCAGTTTCGCAAAAGGTTCAAAGTTAACAGACCGGTAAATTTCCGCATAACTATTATTTCTCGTACAAATACCTAGGTAACCCCGGGCAGATAATAACATTTTTGCATCATGACTTGAGACGGTTACTTGTTTTCTAAGTAAATCTGCGATATCATCCGTAACTAGATGACCTTTATTGAGTATGCTCAATCGGTTGAGTGTTGGGTGCTGTACTAGGTGCCTAATGCTTTTGGGATCGCAAAACCCGCACTCCAACATTCTCAGACCTTTGATTTTCGCAATAATCTGAACCATCTCGTCATCAATATCGAACTTCAGACACAGTCGAATTAATTTCGATCTTTTCTTTTCGCTAAAAGCTCTGAGAAGCTGCAAGATGGGAATGGATTGTTCTAAAGTTGAGACTCCTTCGATTAGAGGTTCGTACTCGCAGTCCATCTTGGGTCGTTTAGATCTAAACTCCTCATCCATTTCTAATTGCTGGGACTTATGGCAATGCAATTCGTTTTCCTCCATATTTTCATCATCATCAGGCAGCTGAAACTGTAATTCCTTCGGCATTGGGAGTTTCCCAATTTCCAAATGCTGTAGCTTATCTAAAAGTGCCAGCCCGACATAACCATTATCCCTTTCATTATCATTCAGCAGAAATTTCAATTGCTTTAAGTTGGGACAATGACGAACGATTTGAGTGAGCTTTCCCTGGTCGGAAAACCGATTTACATTAACTTCCAAGGTTACCAGTGAGGGATTGTTAATGCAAAATTCCACTAGGTCGCACATCTCCAAGGAAGCTGTTATGGTCAGTTTTGAAATATTGCGAAATACCCCGAGATTGCTTATTTGATGATCTGCAATATATTTGAATATTTTAGTAAGAAACAATTTACGGGTAAAACAATCCATTTGCCTGCAATATCCACAATTATCTCCTTGAATTTTGGAATTCGCCCTGGATCCAAAACTATGCGCAAAGCTTTGCCCTGCAGTCCCATTATAATTTCATCGAATATACTCTCGTGTTCTTTGTTATATTCTTGAGTATTATAACTCAGCTCGATGGTTTTTAGCAGGGGATTCCCCATCATGGCCTTAATATAAATGTCCATGTACTGGTCTCTCTTTAGCTTTGTGGCTCTCTTAAGAGTTTTGTGAATCTCAATAAACTTGACGGTTAACCTTTTATGGGTAAGCGCATGCAGCAGATCGATTTCCAAGCGGTTGTACATTTCTATCGACCAGTCCCAAACGATTCGTCGAAATATCCTGCAGGTGGCAGCAAAGTTAAAGATGTCAGCATACTTGATGGTGTCCAAAGATTCATTGCTATTCTGTATTTCGCAATTTGTCTTTATAATGTCGAGTACGCGAAACAGATCATAATGACTAATATCTGTTATAGTCTTTAAAGTCCCCATTTTAAGGTAGGTGTTCTACGTACATTACTGTTCGCCGGTACCCAACGATCGCAAAAGGCACGTCTGATGTGCCCTATACTTAATAACACACTGGTTATTTAGCTCAGAGAGGATTGTACTGGAATGCCAATATAAAGTATACCTTATATACGTACGTTTAGGGTGTGTTCGGCTTATGCATTTATTAACTTGACTTTTTAATTTATAACTACTTCTCCTTTGATTAATGTTTTTTGGTAAGCCACGAACATTTTATTTAATATTTATCCTATTATTCTACATAAGTCTGGAATTATTTATGTAGAATCGAACACAGGGTAAATTTTTGTCGAGCAATCTAAACTGAATACATGAGTATTTATATTATCGGCCTGCTGATAGCCACACCAAACATAAACAAAAAAGCTCCCCAGCTTTCTTACTTCTATATGTATGTGACTATAGTCACATTAGGGTGGACCTACGATTTATTTTTATATGAGTAATTTTATATTTATTACTTCATGTATAGCTAAAACAGGGTCTAATCTAGCGATCTATTTCATTACCAACTTTTGATCTTTCGTTAAAGATTCAAAATATTTTATAATTTAAAATATTTTTGTATTAATGTTAAAATGGCAGCTTTCGCATAAATGGGCTTGCAAAAGCTTCGGTAAATTTTTTGGAGCTGAGATCAGTATTTATTGAATTTCTGATTTGCTGATTTCCCGAAAGTATTTATAATAGTAAATAGTATTTCAGTATTTAAAGTTGACTCATCAAAAATTATATTTTCTTGCCCTTTGGTAGTCCATACATTGAACAAAAATAAAGTTTTAATTAAATGTAATAATACAAAACCTTAAGCGAGTGGATGGGATGGGGGTAATGTAGTACTCGTTATGCTGATGGACCTGCGGACATCATTATTTAAAAGTTGTGGGCATCGCTGGGATTTATGATCTGGGCTGCGTCTTTTGAATGAAAACTTAAAGCGCAGTTAAAGTTTGTTTAAAGTAGTTGCCGCGGCCAAGTGAAACTGGCAGCTGCACTTAATTTGCAGTCATCTCATTTGTTTTTCCCACCACCCTAACCAACCCCATCACCCAAAACCAACCCAACCGCAAGTCTCAGGAAGCGTGCATTTTTCTCCGCCTTTCCCCCGTTTTTTATTCCACTTTTCTCGTACTCCTTACATCTCTATCTCATGCTATGCGGTTGGCAGGGAATAAGGAACAAAAAAATGGAGAAACTTTAGAAGCCGTTACTTCTCGTTGAACCCCCACCACCCAGGAAAATCCTTCTGTATCCTTGGTGTTGTGGTGGGTGCGTGTAATCTACTCAAAGCAAATAAATTTTTAATGCTGACTAATGTAGAAAATGTGAGCAGAAATTTACCTGGGAAAACTATAAGGGACCGTGGCATCAACTTTCGCATTTTTACCTCAGCCAGCCGACTTTATGCCAGCTTCCAGACCTTATTCCTCGCTCTTTAGTCCTTCGTCCTGCGTTGCAGCAATTTGCAACAGGACTCTACAAATTGAAAACGAAGCCCCCTTGCTGCATATTTACTTAGGTCTGAAAAATCATTTTTAAAACTTAGTCTTAAGTTGCAGTTTACTTGATAAACCGACAGTTAAAGCAGACTTTCGCAGGCAAGGAGTTGACCTAATTGCATGTGTACAAACTTGTCAGCATTTTGAGGCATCGATTGCGCTTACAATTACAAAAGGCAACAAGAAGCGCAACAAATTGGCAAAAATGGCAAGTCATTAAAAATAATTTAAAACAAACATCACAGAAAAGTTTTACACCAAAAAAGTTGAGGACATCTTAAATGCGAAAATAACTGAGACAATGGCTGGGCAAAGGGGGTGGCAGCTGAAAATTGCAAGACAGCAGCAGTCGCAGCAACAAATTGGCAAAATTCATAACGAGGAAAATAGGAACGTGGACGGAGAAAAAAAGGGGATTTTTGGTAAAAAGGATGCTTTATAAATTTGGTAAACATTACGATTTTGATTTAGTATTCTTTTTAATGTACAATATTTTGATTAGGCCTAACAAATACGGGGATCATTAGGCAACTCAAATCACACGTGCTTTGAAATCCCTTTCAACTTAGGTGTCTAAAAGTATGCAGTAAATAAAAAATAGTCGTAGTTTTGAATGAATGCATTGAATTTCTGATCTTTAACTATACTGTTGCATACATTTAAGCACCCAAAATTAAATTTGTAGTGAATTTTAAACAATTTCTCCTTTTCCATGATATTTGGGCTGCCATAACTTAATTGAGATTTGACAATACATAGGAAAAGATAACAAAAATTGTATATATCAAAAAATTTAATTAATATAAATGTATTTTCGTCAAATTTTAGTGGTGTGATATTTTATTGACATTTTAATAATTTGATTAAGGCTAGATTCAAAATTTGTGACTACGCCCATGAGCAGGAATGGCCAGACACCCCACAAATGGCCCGAAACAGTCGCAAGTGACAACGAGCTGAGGACGCCCAAAGGATGCTGGTGCTGCCACTTTCGCAGTTGCCTCTGCCTGGCGTTGTTTTAGTTGGTAATGAAAGCGACTGATGTCCAGGGGGCGGGGCTGGGCGGAAGCTGGCCAAACATTAACGAGCATCAGCGAAAAACTTGCAACTCGCAGACGCCTGCAACTGAATCGAGTTCTTCAGGGGAAGGGGCACCATTGCATTGTTTGCAAAACGCTTCGAGTAAATTATGCAGAATTGCTGCAGAACAGCCAAAGCCGAAGCAAAAGTTAAGCGCCCAACAAAATGGAATTTACATTGCCTTTCACAACTTGCTTGCCAATGTCTTTGTTGCCTTGTTGTATGTTGCTTTGTATTTGTGCGAGGGTTTTTAATAAACTTAATAACTTTGCAATTTGATGCTGCAATCAGCGCGCGGAGCCAGCTGTTCCCGTCATGCAAATGGCCAAAAAGGCTCGGACGGGCAGTCTTCGGAAATTGCCACAAGCACCGCATGGCGTATACTTAATTTGCAGTCGCATTATGCAGGCAGCACGGGCCAATTAATAGAATAAATTCCCTAACAAAGGCAGCAAACTCATAAATTCAAAGAGGGCGGGGGTTTTCAATTCCTTTTAATTCACTTAAAAGGTTCTGCTCGCCCCAAATATTATCTCTGCGGCAAGCTTCGACGCCGGGGCTCTTTAAAAATGCATGTCCAGTCCCATATCAACCGCCGAATCCTGAATCGATCCTTCAGAGGAGGGAGTCCTGGCGTCGCAGGAGCACGGAGCAGATGTTGTTGCTCGGGGCGGGTCATTGAATAAACAAACATCTGTGGCAAGTGAGGTTAGGACACAAATTGAATTTGCGCCCTAAAAGAGCATAACAAATAGACGACACGCATACGCCGTGTGGTACGCAAAGCCACAAAACCCACATGCATGTCAGTGGATAACCAAGACACCGGACAGCGCAAAAAATCACTCACTCGCCCACTCACCCTATCGCTCACCTGTGGTGATGGGAGAAATAACCAGGTAGCTGTACCATATGATATTATGGTTGGGTACATATTTGCTTTTAGTATTTTGTTTAGCATAAAATATTAATTTAATTGGTATTTTTTCGGATAAAGATATTTAAAACATATTTATCTGACACCATTGATTAAAAAGTTTCTAGATAACCTATAATACTGCCTAAAAGTATGCTATAAAAAATGTTACGTCATTTTATCCAAAGTCATTTGATTTTTAATAATATTATAGCATACTTTTAGGCAATTTTTGTTTTACCTTTAAATTTATAGTGATCATACATAGGCTTGTAACTTACCTTTGCTGGTTCCTAAAGAGTACTACGACGTTGACCTGAACTAGCCCCATAAAAGTACCTTTCCCATCACTACTCACCTGGAGTCCCCGTTCAGTGAGCCATGACGCTTAGATATTTTTGGCATGCGTGGCGAGTGACAGCGAATGGCAAAAACAGGTCCCCGACATGGACGCAGCTGCTGTTGGCCAAATCCCGACTCAAACCCACACGGTTACATCATCATCGTCATCATCATCGCTATAGCGATGGCGTCTGGATAATGGCTACCCGGAGATGACAGTTAACAGTTGCCGAGCTGGCCAGCGCCAGGTAAATAAATCAAACAAAAATGGCGACTTTCGGCTACGTGACGGGCGAGCTAAAGTAGCCGGGAAAAGATATAGACGACAAAAGTCACGGAGGCTCAATAGCTTGACTGATTATCGTGTGTGTGTGTATATAGTGCCTCAAAGTTGGATTTGGGTATCCCGAACTGGCGCAGAATGGCGGGCCAGACACAGAAACAGAACATCTGACATGCAGCCAGTGTGCTGACAAATGCTTCCTGTAAGATGTCTGTCGACGTCCATCATTGGACGCCACAGAAGAGGCTAACAGGCGAACAGCTGGCCAATAGCAACAGTTAAGTCGATTTTGACACATGGAACTCAGTTTGTTTGGCAGAAATCAATAATGTCTAGTGAAGGTCCTTAGAAAAGCAGGAAATGCCACGCGAAGGATTGCAAAAGAAATAATTTGTCTTAAGGAAAAGTTAAACAGCCCTACATTAAATATCCTTTTTTTTAATTTAGGGTAATTTGTTAAAGCATCAAGAAATACATTAAAAAAGCCCAAGTTTTTTGAAAATAAATAATTTTAGTAAAGAAAAGATTTAAGTCACGGAATCAAATTTTGAAACAGTATTCGTTGTTTTAAATTTGTTGAGAACTAACCCAATTGAAGAATACAAGCTATTGTAATATACAAAATTCTATTTAAAATTATACAATAATTTTTACAAATATAATGTAATGTATAATGTATAATGTAATAACAAAATGTATATGGTAAAAATTTATACTGCAACACATCCATTGTAACTTTATAACCAAACCCCTATTTTACCGCGTCACCTGAAAAGGCAATAAAATCACTTAAAGTTTGTGAGTGCATTCAACTGAATGTCGTAAAATAGAATAGCTCGCTGAATTTTTGAATGATTTATATTATTTATGGCATAGCCGAGCTGTGGTCCTCTGGTTTAAGTGACCTCACCTGA